GGAATGAGAAAGATTGAGTAACAGGTAGAGGAAGACATGGGATTGAGAGATCCTGTTTTCCTTTTGTTTCAGTCATGGAAAAGACTTAACTATATCTACACAGTGAATGGGAAGGAGAAGAGGATAAAAACTACAGGAAACCAAAGGAATTATTCATAGAGTGATGTGCTGTAGCATCAGGCAGGGAATGGGATTCAGGAGCAAGACTGAACCAGGAGAAAAGCATAGGTATAGTAAGCAGGTGATAAAAGAGAACAAGGATTTGGCCAATAACATGTTTGGTGGTCTGAAGAATTCCATTTATTTCCATGAAGTACAGGGAAGGTATCCCATAATGGGGGTGGTTGTTCATTAAGAGGTTTGAGGCAAGTGGTAAAGGTTGGCAACAGTCCCTGTGGGAGTAAATTGAGCAATAACAAATAACAGGATTGTGCAGCAGTGTTGAGAACCCACAAAGACCATGAATTTATAGTCACTAATCTGCACATTTGTGAGTTTTTATTTTCTAGTATCACTCAGTACCCTGGGATAGTAACAGAGAGGAAGAATTATGGTGTTTTTCCAGAGCTGGGGTTTTGCCAGGAGAGTGAAACAGAAGATGGGGACTAGGGAATTGAGTATGTTAGTGAGATACTGATCCGGGTGATCAATGCATGATCTAAGCTAGGCTCTTAGGCTAAAACAAGGCTTTGATACTGGGAATATCAAAGGACTAAAAGTTAAAATAGAGAACAACTAAACTAGAAAGATAAGAGGTTGTGTCAGAAACACAGGGTCTGTTAAGCTAGATTTTAAATGGGGGGAGGGAAGCGAGAGAGCACTGGAGTGGTAATTTGGAAATATAGAGACTCCTGTCTTCTGGAAAAAAGAGAATCACATGTGTAAAGACAGAGACATACACAGAGGAACAGCAAGAGTTTCAGTGCAACCAGAGCACACATTGCACAGAGACAAGTGACATCAAATCAAGGTGGAAACAAATATTAGGCCAGATGGTGTAAAGCCTAAAAAATGTGGGCATTAGTTCCTCGAAGAGGCCTGGAGCCAGCAAAAGTTCTCAGACAGGGGAGTCCCATATGGCTACAGCTGAGCAGGGGCTCCTCCATGGGGGCTGAGCTCCAGGCCTAGCTCTGCTTGCCAAGGCATTCACCCCACTCTGTGGCTCCTTCAGTGGGAGAAAGATCTTTTCTGTAATGTACAGACTAGTACACCTCCAGAGGAGGAGCCCTTTTCCAAATCATCCACCTAAGGGGATGTCTTTGCTATTGGCTAACAGTGGGTTTGAGTGGAGTGACCATCAGATGAACTTTTCAGGGTGACCTCTCTGGCCATGGTATAGGACAGTGGTTCCCAAACTTATTTGGCCTACCGCCCCCTTTCCAGAAATAATATTACTCAGCCCCTGGAAATTAAATTTTTTTTAAATTTTAATAGCAGTTACTCATCGCCCCCAAATGCACCTGTGGCCATCACCGCTCCCCTGGATCGCTGCAGCGCCCACCGAGGGGCGGTAGCGCCCACTTTGGGAATCACTGGTATAGGAGATGACCTAGAATAAAGACACATAGTAAGCAGTTATCAAGAAGAAAGAGAGGCCAGACCCAGAAGCAAGATCTGTAGTAGAAGTAACACTGGGTGCCTTATAGACATAGGGACAGTGGAAAAAGGAAAAGTTGAAGATGACTTGGATTCATTCTCCACTTAAAGGGGATCGAGCCGGCAACCTGGCATGTGCTCTAACCAGGAATCAAACTGTGATCTGGTTCATAGGTCGGCACTCAACCACTGAGTCACACCAGCTAGGCCATGGCTGTGATTTTACTGATTCACAACCGATAAGAATTTGAAAGTAGCCCTCACCAGTTTGGCTCAGTGGATAGCGCATCGGCCTGTGGACTGAAGTGTCCCAGGTTCGATTCCTGTCAAGGGCACATGCCTGATTTGTGGGCTCGATCCCCTGTGTGGAGCGTGCAGGAGGCAGCCAATCAATGATTCTCATCATTGATGTTTCTATCTCTTTCTCCCTCTCCCTTTCTCTCTGAAATCAATAAAAAAATATTTTTTTAAAAGAATTTGAAAGTAAAGGTTTAGGAACTTTATAGTAATTAAATAATCTCTGTTGAATTACATAACAAAATATTGAGGCTTCTATTTTGTATATCTTTGTGTTTTTATTTTACTTTTTTATAATTAATTTTTATTATATTTTATAACAATATAAGTCGACAGCAAGTTAGAAATTTTAAAAATTTGGTCTTTTACACAGAGAAGGAAAAAGTGAATAAAAACAAATTACATTTTACCTTACCCACTTTGAATTTATATTTTAAAGGCCTATTTCATTTTACATTAGATTGTCATTTTAAAAAATTATTTCTGCTTTAGGCTTATATGCATTGCTGGAAACTCTTTTATCAAACACCTTATCAAACTCTTTTATTTGAAACCTTATCAAAAACAGGTGATAAGGTTTTGGTTTAGCAATACTAGCTCATTTTCTAAGAGGAACCACATGTCAGGTAACACAGAGAAGTTCTTAATTCCTGTTGGAAAGGGAGGTACTCTCCCTTTTAAGAAGAAAATTAAGTCACTCTCTTCTCATTGGAAACAGCTAATCATAGGGTTTCAAACTATTAATGTAGAGACACCTTTTTTAAATATGAGGAAGCCTGCACAGGGAGGTTAATTTTCCAAGATCATACAGCTAGTGAACGGAGAGGTCTGAATTCAAACCCGAGACACTGAACCTGACACTCTACCCTGACAACGCCTGCACTCTTTCTGCCGCTCCACCCTCAACGTGCTCCAGTGGGAACCCGGAGAGTGAAGGCTTATATAAGCTTCTCTTCCAGGTACCTAAAATCCGGTAATAAATAATGTGGAGTGCTTATGAATCTCCTTAATGTGTAAATTTCCTTGTTCTGCTTAGAGCTTTCTGCACGTAGACAAGATTAATGCTTGTCCCAAACTGATTTGCACATCACTCAGGAATATTTCAGGGGAGAGGAAAGTCAACACTCTCCACGCCAGCTGTCTTGATGCTGAGACTGGTTCAATCTAGGTGAGCAATCAACATGCTCCACAAGCAAACCACCTGGATCCTCTTCAGGAAGTAAGTGGGATAGCAGTTAGCAAACAAGTGAATATCCCTGAGAAATAGCAAGTCTTTGAAGAGATCCCATAGTCACTGTGAGGAATCCAGAAACTGCATTAATTAATTGAATCCATGTCTGTTCAGGGAACCAAACAACTTTACTACTTCAGAGAAATATCTGCACACAAAAAAACCCTGAAAATGCTAATCAGTTATTTGGCTCTCTTATCTAGATAATGCCAGAAAAATGTAGATTTTTGGCATGGTTTAGTTTTAACTTGAGAACATAGCATTTAACTCAGCTATATTATTGTTCACCAACATTAAGATTAACAATTCTGCTTTTTTACCACACCCTAAAACATTTAGCAGAGTATTTTATCTTCCTTGTACACATTGGTGACTTTTATTTTTATAAGAGTTCATTTGGGCCAAATCTGAGGACAATTGCTGGGAAGCAAGATCTAAAGTGCTCCCACTAGTGACTTTTTAAAGTCAGAAAGTGAATGATCCCTCAGTTCTTAGCCTCAATGAAATCAGCTGGTTGTGTGCAATGGATGTAGCCCCTTCAATAACAGAAAAATCCAGATTTTTTTTCCAATAAAGCTAATGGGTGAAAGGGTGAAGGTTGGCAAAAGACATAAGCTTCCAGTTATAAGATAAATAATTCCTGGGAATATAATGTACAGCATAGTGACTCTTACTAACAATACTGTATTGTGTATTCGAAAGTTGCTGTGAGATAAATCTTTCAAGGTCTCGTCACGAGAAAACAAGTTTTGTCAATATGAATGGTGATGGATGCTAACTAAACTTGTTGTGGTAATCACTTCACAATATGTACATATATCAAATTATGTTGTACGCCTAATACAATGTTCTATGCCAATTAAATCAATATGGAAAGAATAAATATGAAGCTCATTGTGCATCGCAAGATAAACTTTAAGCATGTAGACCTGGTCTGAGATTTCAATGGCATTAGATCGGAATCTTCGGGTGTGAGCAACGAGTGTTTTTTTTAAGTCAACCTTCGGCTGACTGTTACATAAAGTCTTAGTTGGTCTTGACTAGAATCTGTCTAGCCATCTTTGGGGGGCTGAGATACAGATGGCATATACCAGTGATGCTGTAGGATTATGTGGGACACAGTAAAAAAAAAAATGTTTTAACCAGAAAAATAAAACAGAATAAAATCTAATTACATGGAGTTTCTCTTAAAACAAAAATTGATTGAGTTCTGCCCAAAGTGGCTTGTTGTTTCCTGTGCCAGGAACTACTGTGCAGGCCCAGCAGGAAGTGTGCTACAGAGCAGGATCGCATTACACCCTTGTTTTATGGTTCATTTCACTTATTTAATGCAATCCGAGAACCTGTAAAAGGAACATGTTAGAAGGAGGGAATAGGCTTTTTGTCTTGTTTGGTTTTGTTTTGTTTTTTTAAGTTTCTTTGAATCAAAACATTTGTTTTTACAAGGTGCTTATAGCCCCAGAGAGGCAGGACTTCCAGCGTTGCATGGTGAAGACATTTCTCTTTGTCACAAAATGTAAAGCAAGACACGGCGTTGAGTTATGTCTAGCACTGAGTTATGCCTTTCCTTGCCGTCCTAATCACGTAGTCTTAAACCTGAAGAATTACAACCATGCCCATGAATGGTCTAACTCGTTTTGAATCCATATAAGCTCCTCCTAGGGTCTCTAACTTGATAGAGAGCCCCTGGTGGTGGGGAGTGTGTGTGTGGGGGGGTAGGATAGGAATATGTTTAAGGTGCACAATCGCGATGTATTTGTCAAGCAAAAGAATGAGTTCATTTGGCTCTACTGCTTGAAGATGTGTGAACTGAACAGCTGGATTCCCTCACGGTGGCAGACGCCGCTCCTCACACGCTGTCTGTTTTCCTCTCCAGAGACCTCAGCATGAACAACATCAGTCAGCTGCCCCCGAGTCCTCTGCACAGTCTCCGCTTCCTAGAGGAGCTGTAAGTATCACTGTGGCCACGATGCGTCCAGTCAACGCTGGACACATTCTTGTGTTTGTCTCTCAGACTTACTGTGGGAACCAGATAAAACAAGGCAGGAAAGCTGTCAGCACCAACAATTTTGGCACATGAGGAAGCACTTAGTTGGGAGGGGGAAATAGAAGAATTGCTTGTGATTCTGGAAATCAACTTATAAAAGAGTTTACCATGAGGCTACGGCATTCTAAGGTGAGACTGGGCCAAACAAATTAAAATTTTAAAACAAAAGGCCGTTTAAAAGAGCTGGATGGCTCTTTGGAAATAGTTAAGCAGCAGGATATTAAAAGTTTGAATGCTGGTTCATGTTTATTAAAATAGTAAGAAAAGCTATAATCAAAACCAAAAACTGCTGCTTGGTTCGGTTTGGGTCAGGGAGTCCACATTTCATAGCACCAAAGCTTTTTGTCCTGATCACTTTTAATTACTATTTTCCTACTTTTAAATTTAGCTTCCCTCAAGGCTTGAACAGAGAAGCATGAAATCCACCATAGACTTAGAACCATGCTCTCCTAAACTCACTGTGGGGGGAAAAAATTAAATTAAAAACGAGGAAGCTAAATTGGCTAATGATACACAGAGGAATCTTGATTAAGTCTCGTAATCAATTTCCAGAAGATGAAAAAGAACTGTATAAACCAAAAATCTGCATTTAAAAATTAATTTGATCCTCTTACCCTTTTGAGTGATGGGGACTAAGGAAGTGAAGTACCATGGTAGTCTTCATGAAGAAAGTTTGGCACCATCCGTTGAGTAAATCCTCTGATTTCTGATTAAAGGAATTGTTTAGGCAATGACCTCTTTTTAAAATACTTGTTTTTTATAAATCCTAAAAGTCAGGGTCCAATTTGGGGAGTAATTTAAATTGTTGATGCACCACACGATCCACTATGGGAGGTGGAAAGAATGTTCCATCATAATCAAATGACATTACATCAATCTCTTTTTCCCCCAAAAGGGTAATATTCAAATTTCTCCCCTTTAGTTTATATTTATTTTGGTAGCATTATATTTTTAACAAATGCTATTGTTTTAATACTTAAATCAGCTGAATGTACCTACATTGTTATGGAGGGGTTTGCTGGGGAGGCTTAGATCACTGGACTGTACAGTAGGTTTTACTCATTCAATGAATGGATTTTCACTGTGGGTTATTCAGGAGCCTCTTTTTTTTTCTTTTCTTTTATCTCTGGCCATTTTTTTCTTTTTTTTGTTTTTGTTTTTGTTTTTGTTTTTTGTTTTTGTTAATCCTCACCTGAGAATATTTTTCCATTGTTTTTTGTTTGTTTGTTTTAGAGAGAGAGTGGAAGGGAGGGGGTGAGACAGAGAAACATCAATGTAAGAGAGACACATCCATTGGCTGCCTCCCGCATGCACCTGCAACTGAGGTACGTTCCCTTGACTGGAATCAAACCTGCAACCTTTCAGTCCACGGGCCGATGTTCTATCCACTGAGCCAAACCAGTGAGGGCTATCTCTGGCCCTTCTTGTGACTAAAATTTAACCTTCATCAAGGTTGGGATCATGTCTGTCTTCATCACAGCTGGTATGCAATACATAATAAATTTTTGATGAATGAAAGAATGAACTAATAAAAAAAGAAAAATGTGTAAAAGCAGCTTCTTATAGAAGTTAGCTGCCTTAGATAAAAGTAACAGATTAGTTGACATTAGCCAATATTTTTAAAGATTAATTTTAGTAAATTTCAAACATCAAGGTTATTTTCTTATTTACATCCTTATCCTCCCACCCTCACCATAATTAATATACAATACTTAGTCCTCTTTATCCTCATATTTTTAAGGCATTCATTTCCTATCCTTTTCTCTTTAATTTCCTTATAATATGTAATGGAAGAAGGACACCCCAACTTAATACCACAAACTAATCAACAATAATTCACTTCCCCAAGGACTTTATTTAATAGAATTCCTCCCTCAGTGACCCAACTTATTCAAAATAACTCCTTTCTTCATGAGGTGAATGTTCATTCTCTTTCAAGGCCAGTTTTTCAAAAGACAATTGAGAAAAATCAGGAAGAAAGAGAGGGAGGGAACTACTATTTGAAAATGCTGTTTTTCTGAATTGTCTTTTTTTATATCTCTGGAAACTCCATCAAATATCTTGACCATGGAATCAGAATTTCAGAAATAGAGGACACCTTTTTAAGACTGTTCATTCCATTTTCTCATTCTGTTCTTGAATTCCCTCTGCTGAGCTGGCCAACTTGCTGAATTTAAAGACCACTTTCCCATATATAATTCTGTGTTGCATCTAACATGTTTTGAAGACATCATTATTTATTTAGTGGCAAAAGGGGGTAGTATTTATAGAACCTGGAAAAGTGATCAACTCTGCTTGGTTTATTACTTTATTCCCCAGGCTAAATTTATAGGTTGCCTTTGTTACGTTGTTAATTGTTTCTATTAGATTTACCTGTGTTTAAGTCTATGTTCTCTTCTAGAATATAAAATCTTCAAAGTAACATAATTATAATGACAACAGTAATAGTTTACATTGTGCAAAATATTTTACCCATACTATTGCATTGAATCCTCTTACTAACCCCATAAAGTTAGCTATTATTTCCAGTTCACAGATTTTTTGAAAATATATCTTTATTGATTTCAGAGAGGAAGGGAGAGGGAGAGATAGAAACAGCAATGATGAGAAGGAATCATTGATCGGCTGCCTCCTGCACGCCCCATGCTGGGGATCAAGCCCACAGCCCAGGTATGTGCCATCACCGGGAATTGAATCGTGACCTCCAAGTTCACAGGTCAACACTCAACCACTGAGCCACACTGGCCAGGCCAGTTCATGATATTTTTTACAAAACTAAAGTACAGAGAAATAAGGAACTTACCAAGACAGTGAAGTCAGAATGTGCCAGAGCTAAGATCCAAACTCACTTTTAGAGCCAGACTCAGAAAGTAGAAAGAAGTTTAGGAATTGCGTATTTAACCTGTGCTTTTCTTTCCCTCAACAGTGCCTAGCACAGTAGTTTACACAGTGGAACACTTTATTTTTATATATATACTAGAGGCCCAATGCACAAAATTCATGCAAGAGCAGGCCTTCCTTACCCTGGCTGCCAGCACCAGCTTCCTTCTGGCACCCAGGACCCAGGCTTCCCTCTGGTACCAGGGACCCAGGCTTCCCTCGCTTTGTCTGGAAGGATGTCCAGTCTAATTAGCATATTATGCTTTTATTATTATAGATATATTTTTATTGATTTCAGAGAGGGAGAGAGAAATAGAAACATCAATGATGAGAGAGAATCATTGATCAGTTGCCTCCTGCATGCCCCCTACTGGGGATCGAGCCAGCAACCCGAGCATGTGCCCTTGACCAGAATCGAACCTGGGACCCCTTCCGTCCGCAGGCTGATGCTCTATCCACTGAGCCAAACCAGCTAGGTTTACACAGTGGAACACTTTAAAGTGTTGTTTAAACTGAGTTTCGTAATGATAGTGTGTCTGTCTATGTCAGTGATGGCGAACCATTTTGAAAAACCCTAACTTAACTCTGGTGCCGTGTCACATATAGAAATTTTTTGATATTTGCAACCATAGTAAAACAAAGACATATTTTTGATATTTATTTTATATATTTAAATGCCATTTAACAAAGAAAAATCAACAAAAAAAATGAGTTCGCGTGTCACCTCTGACACACGTGTCATAGGTTCGCCATCACTGGTCTATGTGTATATGTGAGGGAATAAAAAAGAAGGAATGAGAGAGAAAGCAACCAAGAGCTATCTACCTAGCAGGTAGGGATTGGATATCCAGGTTATTAATTCACTAGTATTACATATTGGCTATGAGAAAAATGTCATCAGAATGTCATCAGAATTTCCAGGTGTAGAATTTCATCAATTTAGCATTGCTCAACAGGTACAAAATCTTAATTAATGTTGTTCTATAATTAAGCAGCATATTTCATATAGGATTCTAACTGAACTAACAAATGACCAACCATACAGCTAGATACAGACATTTAGACATTTAGATAGCTGTCAGTGTGTGTGTGTGTGTGTGTGTGTGTGTGTGTGTGAATATGTACTTTTGTTATGACAATTAAGGCATTGTTCTGAAAGTATTCTTTCATTTAGTTTATTCTGCTCATCTCTGTGCTTTATCTCTTTATCTATTAAATAAAACTCTCACCCCAAAACTCAATTTTTAAAAATCACAGTTAATAAATCCAAGTTACCACTCTTCCCCTTACTGTTCATTTCCCAATACAGGGTGGGGTGAAAGTAAGTTTACAGTTGTTCGTATGGAAAATAATACAATCATTAACAAATAATGATACAGTAAACTCTGTTTTGCCTACTCACAACTGTAAACCTACTTTTTCCCCCATCCTGTATATCATATCCCTAGTTTAATTTATTTAACTATGTTTTAAACCCTGTAGACAGCCATGATTCATTCCTCATTCATCACTGGAACTTATCAACAGTGCCATAGTTTAAAAACTTATGGACACAGACAACAGTGTGATGATTGCCGGGGGAAGGGGCATTAAGCGAGGTGGAGGAGGGTATAGACAGATAAATGGTGATGGACGGAGGCTTGACTTGGGATGGTGAACACACAGTGCAGTGTACAGATGATGTGTTGTAGAATTCTGCACCTGAAACCTGTATAATTTTGTTAATCAGTGTCACCCAATAAATTCAATAAAAAGGGAAAAAGTAAAATTTGTTTTGAGTCTTTAAAAAAATAATAAAGTAGCCCTGGCCAGTTTGGCTCAGTGGATAGAGCGTCGGCCTGCGGACTGAAGGTTCCGTGGTTTGATTCTGGTCAGGGGCACATGCCTGGGTGGCAGGCTCGATCCTCAGTAAGGAGTGTGCAGGAGGCAGCCAATCAATGTTTCTCTCTCATTATTGATGTTTCTATCTCTCTCTCCCTCTCCCTTCCTCTCTAAAATCAATAAAGATATATTTTTTAAAA